TATATATATATATACTTGTCTGTTCCTTAAAAAATAACACTTAAGAGAAAAAGCAAATGACCTTTTAATGTAGAGCATAAATCATAATCTGTAACGCATTATCACCTTTTCCCTACATTTTTCTTAAGTAGCAGAGAAGTGGTGGGGCACTTATTATTTATTTGAATAAATTTTAAAAAAATCCTGGTTAATAATATATTATTAAATGCGATAAAAACTGTATCTTGAAGACAGAAACTGATTGCAGATTTGAAATCAGCGACGCGAAGATTCGTTAAAAATTCTTACGCAACAGAAAACAATACCAAAAAAAAATTGCACCTCAGTGTTATTCAAGAAAATATCATCATTATTTCCAGTTTATGCGTATTTAATAGTTGAAATGCAAGTCTTTTCTTAATCTTACTTTTCGATTGTTTTCGGAAATATTTATTCGTAAAATGAACAATTATTGCTCTCTTATCAGAAATTAAATAAAAGTAAAAATCTACAGAACTGAAATAACGGGTGGCAAAGAGAAACTTCTTTGCACTCATAAGATCTCAAATTAGAGGAAAAGAAAAAAAAATGCCCATGAAATATACACAAAAAAAAGCTCGAGAAATTCGGACGGCGAGGAAAATTGTCAAGTAAAAAACATGCGAAATGAAAAGATTTGTCTAGAGGCAGAAAAAAAAGCTCTGATAAAGCGTCTTTTTTTCCCTTTTAACATTCCTTAAAAATGTTCCACTGCATTTTGAGACCAAGAAGTAAAATGTTGAGTGAAAAAAAATTCGGGCAGTCAAAGTATTCGAAACACTGTCTGTAAAATATTCCACCCTTCAACAATTGTTATTTCAACTCTACTCTTCACATTTTTCTTCTGGTTATCTACCGGTCAGGAAAAGTTTCGTGACCTTTATTCCAAATTCGAGGATTTGAGGTCTAACTAATCGTTATAATACAACTACTTCAACGAATCCGAAATAGTTGAATATGAATTATTTTTAAAAAATTTTTATTTACTGGGAAATATTTTTGTTTTAATATTCTCATCAGAGGTTGACACCGAGTTCTTTTAAAAAGACGGATTCTTTTTCTAGATAAGAAACAAGTGGTTCATCATCAAGATTTATTTTGAAGCAGCAGGAACATTACATTAGAACATAGCTGAAATCTCAGTGCATTGCCTGCGAAGCGGCATTAACTGATTTTTGAGACATGTAATGGGGGAACGCGTGAAGTGGGAGTAGAATTGGGGGGAGAGGGGTTGTTAAGACCAAATAGTAAATTCATGAGTGGGCAATCAGTCGGTTGAACATATGATGAAATCGATAGGAAATTAAACATAATTGATATTAAACTAGATTAGAATATAATAATAGTTACTGGGGTCAGAATACTATTATCATTTACGCTGTTGTAATAAAATAGAAAAGAAAATAAAGAAAATATATTCAACCACTCGTTTCCTGTTTGCTCATCCTACTAAAGTTAGCAATTTATCGTCGCCACAGCTGCGACCCACTTGGGTTGCTCGCATACCGTGGCGCCGATGAATTGCCGTGTCTTAAACCTTGTTTATTTGGGATTAAATTATTGGTGTGATTGTTTAAGAAAAAGGGCTAAGTCTGTATCACCTCAGGAAGAACGCTGTAATGGGGCCATATTTGGTGTTGTCTAGCGAATCGACTTGCAGTGCAATCGCATGCGTTTTCATAAAATTTAGCATTGTGTTTGTCCATGAAGATGTTTATACCATCCATCTTTAAATCTGTTCTTATACTGTTGATGAAGAGGAGTGATGATTTTTAACTGGTAGTTAAAAATATTTATATATATTATATATATTAGTTAAGAATATTTATATTCGAAATTAGGAAGGTTTCCTAATTTCGAAACCACTTCAACGTAAATAGTTCTCACCTCCATAAGAATTAAATTTCTATGTGTGTAATAAGTTCTCAAATAGATTTTATAAATAATTATGTATACACTGTAAACATTTATTTTCAAATTATTGCTTTTTGTTCAATGTATTATTCGAGAACACACCTGGAGCATAACCCGTTCGAAGCTGCCATTTTGCTGATAAAGATTAGCTGACTCTGACGTTATAGGTCACATGTCACAGTGGGCCAGCATCCAAGGTTTCGTGGCCAAAATTAGTATTTCGATAAAATTTGTTTCAAAATTTGGGGGGTTTTTATGTGCAGGTAAATTGAATTCATAGTTGAAATTTTAAAGTACACTAAAAATATCCAAAAAACAAAATGGCGGCTGAAATATGGCGAGCAAAAATAAAAATAATAATATAGCACGTTTAAATAATTAAATATAGCAATGAAAATATAATATATAATAATAATAATTTGTATTAAAAATGAAAAGCAAATTATATTTCCGAAGTAATATTACAAAATAAATCGAATTAATTACAAAATAACACGAAAACATGAAAAAAAACATAATTTTTGTTTTTCGGTACATTTAGTCCACCATTGCAATACGGGCAAAGTGGAGCAGGGCTTTTCGGAAGAAGAAACACCAAAGAAGACAACAAAAATATGTTTAGCTAATTACCTCGGGGAACTTTTTGGAACTGAGTTTCGAAAGTCATTCAAACATTGTAAATGTCAAATGATAAGATATAAACTATAAGTTTGTCAAGAGTATTAACTAATCCAACAAATTGAAAAATTGTACTACAATTTCAGACTAATTTAATCTGATAAAAATTTAACACTAAGGNGCTTTTTGTTCAATGTATTATTCGAGAACACGTCTGGAGCATAACCCGTTCGAAACTGCCATTTTGCTGATAAAGATTAGCTGACGCTGACGTTATAGGTCACATGTCACAGTGGGCTGGCATCCAAGGTTTCGTGGTCAAAATTAGTATTTCGATAAAATTTGTTTCAAAATTTGGGGGGTTTTATGTGCAGGTAAATTGAATTCATAGTTGAAATTTTAAAGTACACTAACAATATCCAAAAAACAAATGGCGGCTGAAATATGGTGAGCAAAAATAAAAAAAATAATATAGCGCGTTTAAATAATTAAATATAGCAATGAAAATATAATATATAATAATAATAATTTGTATTAAAAATGAAAAGCAAATTATATTTCCGAAGTAATATTACAAAATAACTCGAATTAATTACAAAATAACACGAAAACATGAAAAAAAACATACTTTTTGTTTTTCGGTATATTTAGTCCACCATTGCAATACGGGCAAAGTGGAGCAGGGCTTTTCGGAAGAAGAAACATCAAAGAAGACAACAAAAATATGTTTAGCTAATTACCTCGTGGAACTTTTTGGAACTAAGTTTCGAAAGTCATTCAAACATTCTAAAATGTCAAATGATAAGATATAACTATAAGTTTGTCAAAAGTATTAACTAATCCAACAAATTGAAAAATTGTACTATAATTTCAGACTAATTAATCTGATAAAAATTTAACACTAAGGTGAAATTCCTACATATATTTCTGAAATAAAAATTTAAAAGTTACATTTAAAAAAAAACAATTTACATATTTTTCACTACATTGTACTCTCGTCGGTCCAAAAAGTAAATTATAATGTTTGTAATGATTATGAATACTTAATTTGGGCTATATTAAAACAGCCTATACGTATTTTAGTTCAAAATTTAATATTTGACTTTCGGCCAAAGATCATGGCCTTCTTGCCCACAGTGCATGTGTGGGTACGGGAGGTTTTCATCTTCTTGATGTGCAAGTACCGAATTGAAATCAAAAACAAATATTAAGAAGAATTGGTTACATATTAAAATTACGATTTTGATTGTCTTAAAAATATGTAAATCCCAGGCACAGAGCAGAGAGAAGCACCAAGAAGCTGAAAGATTATATACGAAAAAGGAAAACGACTTCTTCTTCGAAGAAATTAAAGAATGGAGTAAACGGTAACCCGCACGCGGATAGAAGGTAAGCTAGGTTCGGTTAAAGTTAGTACAATGGAAAAGGAAATCTTCAACAATAAAGAAGTAACAATGCCACTGCTGGTTAAAAAACGAAGACTAATTTAACTCAATTAAGTTGGTGAAACGGAAATGATTGGCTAAAATGTGATGTGTGCAACATTACACATCTGGCTTGGCAATTTTTACAATTACTTAACAGATAGCATAGTGGCTTCGGGGATGAAGTGCTCGCCTGCCAATGAGGTGAACCCATGTTATCGGGTCATTAAGTATGAAACGTCCGATTTGAGACCATGCACCTAAACTATCAATACCACATTGCCATTTTAACGATAGCTTATTAATACCGCAAGCGAAAAAATCTGGAGAGCAGCTGGTGATGAAATCCCAAAATGCATTTTCCGCCGCATGCTGGGAATTAAATATTTTTCCTTGCAAAAAATTGTCCAAAGCTCAGAAAAAATGGTAATCAGATAGCACGAGATGTGGCGCGTACAGTGGATGACAAAAGATTTCCAGGCCCAGTTCCTGTAGTTCAACTAACGTCGATCTTGCAATGTGTGGTCGAGCGTTGTTCTGCAAGAGGATAGGTCTGACCCTTTTGACTAATCTCGGCTGCTTAATTTGCAGCTGCCTCATCATTGCTTCTAACAGTTCACAGTAAAAGTCCCCTGTTATCGATTGCCCAGGTCTCATAAAAGTATAGTGTATAACACCCACGCTGGACCACCGAACAGACACCATTAGTTTTTTTTTGTATATACTCGGCATTTGGGTGTGTTTTGGCACTTCATCTTTGCCCAACCATTGTGCCGAACGCTTGCGATTATCAAAACGTATCCACTTTTCATCGCACGTGACTATCCGGTGCAAAAATGGATCGCCTCTTTGACTTGATACCAAAGAACAGCAAGCCACGAAGCGGTTCCGTTGTTGACGCTCGCTCAACTCATGCGAAACTCACTTATCCAGCTTTTTTTACTTTTTCGATTGCTTTCACGTGACTTACTATTGTTGGAATGGTAACTTCAAACCTTGATGCAAGTTCATGCATCGTTTCAGATGGATTTGCTTCCCCTACAGCTTTCAGTTGGTTGTCACCCACCTTGCTTTTAGACAGCTCGCGTGGTTCATTTTGAAGATCAAAATCCCCAAATCGGAATTTCATGAACCATCGACGTACTGTAAGTTCATTAGCTGCATCCTTGCCAAACGCTTCGTTAACATTTAGGCTTGTCTGCGCTACATTAGCTCCATGATAGAACTCATATTCGAAAATAACTCGCATTTTTGTCTTATCCATGGGTTACAATATTTAACCTCCAGACGACAATACGATAGACTATTAAAAACAAAAAACTGCATCTAAAAGCCAGATGGCGTACCTTCTCAATGCAGAAAAAATGAAGGACGATCGAAGTCAAGTATCGGAGACATCTGGTATCAAACTTGAGGCTTTAGTTAATCGGACATTTCATACTTAATGACCCATTATAATCTCAACAACGGCTAGTCGACACGAATTCTGCACTGGGTTCGCATCGACCACTGTGCTGACGTAATACTATCCTGAGTGGTAAATAGATCATGGGCTAACCGTGGGAGGCTTTCGTTGTGTTCCTCTCCGTGCTACGCAAATGTGGGTTAGTTCCATCAGAAGTTCTCCACGAAGGAAAATTTCTCCCAGTACTATCCAAGATTTCCTTTTTCATTTGGATTGGTTTTAAAATGACAAGGCTACGGAGTTGAACGTTAGTAGCCATAAAATCAACTACGGTTATATAACTTAGCAAACAGATGAATGTGTTAAAGCCCAGACCTGGGCTGATACACAAATAATAAATTTATATAGGTATAGGCATGTGCAATAAGTATCTTAATTAGTGTAGCATTCAAAAACATTTTACAATATAAGTTAAAAATAGTTTACAAATTCGATGTTATAAATTTTGCTTTTGTTATAAATCTGGAGGATCTTTGGGGGCTTTATAATATATTAGTATTTAAATCTGAAGTCAGAGCTTTCTTTAAAAAAAAATTTTGTTGATGTTACTTATGCCACTTGCCAAAACCACCAAGCCTGCTTAGTGAAACCAAGCGAATTTAAGGCAGAGTGCGCATTTCGTGTTCTTCAGTTGTGCCATCTACGGCTAAGAATGCGACTTCAGCTGCACACGTCAAAGCCTGTTTATAGGGGGGGGGGCCCATTCAACCACCCATTCATTCATCCACAGATCGTAATTTTGTCCTGAATCAGAGAACGATCAATCTCCAATTCATTACTCCCTAAATTGTGATTTGTTATGACAACAAGGAGGACTTTGTAACCAGACAGATTTAACGTGCGCCAGTCACCAGTTACTACACAGGGATTCTTCAGCCGATGGGGATTGAGCTCGCAACCGTTTGGAGATGAGCCCAACCCCCTACAAACCAGGCTATCTCGGCCCAAAAATAGTAAATAAATGGAAATAAAATAAAAAACTCAAATAGTAGGTAATAAAAATTAATATCCATCTGCTTTTAATATATAAGTGTTACGACTTTATAAAGACATTTTTTACTTACATAGACCACTTTTGGAGGGAAGACGTTTATAAAAACCTTTCAATCCCCGGTGAAACTTCGAACGTATTATATAGGTGTGAGTCAAACCAGGTAGTGGGGTGAAACCGGGTACCTCGATTGTACTGAAATTAGATCTGATTTTCTAGCGGACAAAATCAGAATTACACTTTACTAGTCAAGAAGAAGGATTTACCTTATTGGCGTATTAGTGTTTGCTGGCAGCAGCGAAAAACTCATTGCGAGCCCCTTCCTTTAAAAACAAAAAGCCTTCTTTTTTAAGCATAATTTGCATTTAAAAACATAATTTGTAGAATTTTTTAAGACACAAATACAAAATAACAAAATTGTAATTTTTATATAAATGTAAAGAAATTCTCACTGATCGGCCCCGAAAAAATACCCCCTCCTCCTCCCCATGCGTCCGGCCTTTTCTAAGTCATGTAACTTACATGTGTATAACATAAAAATGCCTGCTACTTTTTGATTGAAATTCCAGAAATTTTCTAAATTTTCGATGGAGTTAACATGTGTCCCCGGTTTTATCAAACTATTGGGGTAAGACTGGGCACACAAAGCACCTAAGACCGAGTGCTACTTTGACTTTTCCCAGAAAAAAAATAATTATATTCTCCTGAGAGAAATATCTCTGTGTGTATATATATATATATNATATATATATATATATATATATATATATATATATATATATATATATATATACTGTGTGTGTGTGCGTGCGTGCGTGCGTGCGTGTGTGTGTGTGAAGGACCATAGTTTAAATATTAATATATTTGCTTGCTACTATTATACACAATAATATACGCTACGCGGGTGTACACGGAATTAGCAAAAGTTTACCAAGCATTATTTTAGTCATAAATGTTGACACTTTTGTTATACGACGTACTTGTCCACTCAGTCAATGACTCCCAAATGCCGCACAAAGTCATTCTATAAGCGTTTACGATATCAGTATTAGTTTATAAGCAGTGTCTTTGACGTAACCCAAAAGAAAGAGATCACATGACGTAAAATCCAGGGACCATGGTGGCCATGCGGTAAAGAGTAAATCCCTTGTATATTTACATCAAAAGCACTACTACTAAAATAAGTGACTCCAAATATACTACAAAAACATAAATAAACACTTTGGTGCAGCATTAGAAACCGCTGACAGTGAATCAAATAATCATTAAATAAAAATAGAAAAAAAATATATTTGCAAGACAGGAGAGCAATTAGTTAAAAAAAAGTGATAGAGATANAAGCACTACTACTAAAATAAGTGACTCCAAATATACTACAAAAACATAAATAAACACTTTGGTGCAGCATTAGAAACCGCTGACAGTGAATCAAATAATCATTAAATAAAAATAGAAAAAAAAACATATTTGCAAGATTGGAGAGCAATTAGTTAAAAAAAGTAATAAGAGATAGTATAATAATACATAGTCTTTATTTTTGAAAAAAACTGGTCAAAATGTCACAACAGTTACAAGACAAATCAAGAGCTGCTTTTACTTTATAAAATTATGCGCGTTAAAATCGGCTTCTATATTTTTAGTGACAGGTCAAAATAATGAAGAAAAACAATTTTAAACTATAAACATTTGATTTCTTGCAGTTATTTGTTATAAAAAATATGATATATCTCGTTATTCCTAATGGAAATTGAAAAAATATCCCTGTTGTTTTAAGTAATTACTTTTCAAAGATGGGGGAAAACTATTCAGTGTCAGAAATAAAAAAATGTTACAATGTATTATGAAATGAATTATTGAATTATTGAATTAATAACTTTTAAAAAAATGCATATTCTCCGCTATACAGAGATAAAATATAAACAGTATTTAGTGTGGAAGTTATTAAACAATTCAATAAAGGAAGAAAAAAAGGCATCAAAAATTTAAAATAAGAAAGGTTATGAAACATTTAAAATTAGTTATTACTGTTTGTTACCGTCTATTTCGTATGAAATTTCCCATTTATAAACACTTTTAATAATAATCTGGGGGGGGGAGTCACGTGGGTGAAGAAGGAGGTGTTGTTATTATAATCGAAGCATGAAATAGCATTTTCTCGATACCAGCAGCACGAAACATACTTTTGTCTTGAAAATCAAACATTATCTTGAAATTAATACATTACTAATTTATTTTAACTCGTCTTAAAACACAAAAGCCTGTTGGATCAAAGTTTCATAAAATAACGTTAACTTTTCTAATTTTTCGCGTTTGCAGTTGCAGAATTTTTACTCAAATACTGTTTAAATGTTTCCGAAAAAAACAATATTTTATTATACATGTAATATAGATTGTCTCATACGAGTCTTTCTACATTAAATTATAAGCTAAAAATAGATCTCTCTTATTAATTTTAAGGCATAGAAATCGTTTTTTCACAAAGAGCCATAAAAAGTCAAGATGCCAACAAAAGATTATTTTTCAAAGTTAAAGGGTAATAATTCTTTAAACTCTTTAGAAGAAAGGCTTATACTCATTAAGAAAATTCCCTTTTGTCTGAATGACGTAATGTTTTGGCACATATCAAAATCTCTACATTTTCCCGTTTGAATGACGTTTGATTAAGTAAAGGGGACTCTTGAAACCCTTTTAGAATCCCTTTTAAAATAGTCATCGAATATGAGTGGCTTTTTCATAGGTAGATAAATCTGTGGCATGTCCCCACATTCTTTCTATGGGAAACCATCATTGTCATTCATGGGGAAATCCAACGTAGGCTGCTAAATAAAACTGTTTTAAATTAATAAGATGCCTATTTGTTTGAATTAGTCAAAGTCTCTAGGATTATCTATCCTTTGATAGTATTTTATTACATATAGATATTGCTGGTATTGAGATATTTTATTTAATAATACCTTTTATACTGGTCATAATATAGAGAGAAAAATATATTTGAAAAGTCGATGTAGGAGAACTTTAGAAGATATACTTTAGGAAGAAAAATCCACCCGCATCGAAATATTTAACTTCAATCAAAGATAAAATTTTCCTCCAACATTTATTCATGCTTAATGTTTGTTCAATATTTACATTAAATGAATTAGTTCAGCTTCTATTAAAAGCATTATTTTCCTCATATCTTTTTATGAATAATATTTTGTAATTTAATTTGCAACAAAGAAAAACAAACATTTGGAGAATAAGGATGTAATATATTTTAGTTAATTTGAATGTTTTTATTACGATGCCAAGAAAATAAATCTCGCAGTGGACTGATAGTGAGAACACGTCTCCCAATACAACACCGAAGTCCAGTCTGCTGTCAGTAAGTGGGTGAATGAACACTTTGATTAGCCTGCGTAAAGACTGAGGGTGCCCGGTATCGGTTCACGTTCTGCCGTAAAGTGCTCGACTTGTCGCGTAGGTCAAGCGGCTACCAAAGCAGGGAAGCCATCCGCTCCTCAGAGTATCAAAATTGCGAAGACATGTCTTCGGATCATCCTCGGGGATATTTCCCATACCGTCGCCAATAGCCCATTGCGCAACTCAAGTGCAGAGTAAATAAATTTCCTACCTACTAAAGAAATAAAATATAAGTAACAGTATAAATCATGCACTACATATACAGTATGAGTTTAAATATGATTATATATGATGATTTAAATATGATGAGATTTAAAAAAAATAAAAAATAAAAAAATAAATAAATAAAAACACTAAAAACACAGTACCAATAGCAAAACTAAGTAATTAA